ATCGTTGCATGTTTTTAAAATAAATGCAAACATGCTATTTTATGTTTAAAAAAAATAAATGACCACGATTCCACCAACACTAGGAAATGATAATCGCTCAAATGTTGAAAATTTTTTAAAAATTCATGAATCATTTAGCTAGACCTGACATTCATACTGTATTCAATAATATATTTATAACTATGATCGTTTTATAAATATTATTAGTTTTTACTTATTATTAACATTGTTTACAATCATGGTGTAAAAATAACCAATGTTTCTACTATGTTGTACATTTTGAAATAAAAAATTTACTAATTGAAATAATTATGGTTATACTCGATTAGTTGACAACATATAACTTGGGACGATTTCACACAGTGTGCAAGGAGGTCGGTCCTCCCAAACGTTAATTAAAGGCATTAAATGACAACAAGTTTTGTGGTAGGTATTTTTAAAATATATCGTAGAATTTGTTTTCATCTTTCGACGTACGTGATATTATATTAACTTCATAATATTGTTGTTTAAGATCGAGTTATTCGAGACACATTTTTTCTTAGGTCAGATGTCGTATTTGAATAAAATAATAATTATTATTATTGTTATTACACTTTTAAGGTGACCGCGAGTTTGCTGCCAATCCTATGGGCACTCCACACCACTGCAGTGGGTACTACTGTGCAGTGAGAGTGTATATACTTTGTAAGCACATACGGTGTGTGTGTGTGTGTTACGTGACCGCTGCTGTCGGACAAACGCATCGACTGTCGCGGGGTTAGTCTTAATGGACCGACGATGTTGCAAATCTCGTTCAGATAAAAAAAAAAAAAACATTCGCACGGGTCATTAAGATCGAATTACACGGACACAAATGGCCGGCGTGGTACGAAACCGCGTTCGTTTGTCTCGGGAGAGACGACAAACGCGTTTTAATGGAAACGGACCAAAGTCGGAGAGAATGCTCAGTTTTTAGCGAATAAAGCCGCGGGCGGATGTCGTAACGATTAGACAAAATTGGCAAAACGTTTGGCGATAATCGTAATGAGGGGGGTGGTAATTAGCCAGGCGAGCGGAGCCCGCGAAGCAGTTCGTTTCTCGGTGACGAGCTATTATTATTTTTTAAGATTATACTCGCTTATACAAAGTAGCCAGTTGGCTATGAAAAAAATCTAATAGTTTATTCCAACGCTGTAATAAAAATGAAATTACTGATAGACTTAATTTAAATCAGGTTTGCCGGATCCAATGTAAATATGTCTGTTGACGTTGGAAAGGTTAAGTTCAACCGATGAAACTAAACGGCGTATTATAATTCGATGATTTTATTTACGTGATAAAAAAATGTAATCGTTTCTCGGTTTATAAAGTGATCCGATTTGCAAAAAGGATCATACGAATAATTCAGGTTTGAGTAAAGAGAGACAGGTAAATTGCTACAAACAATGAAAACGATAGAAACCCTATGCGTTACCTTGTCGAACACGCCGCGTAGGAAATTTCATAAACAAATATCGAGACTGTAATCGATTCAAAAATAAGTGATTGTCGTTTAGCCCTTTGAACAATTCATCGCGGTAACATATCACGGAACATATACATCGTGTTCAGTGAGTAAGGAATCAGGTCAGTCGTTCAAGTAACAAGTAACCCGATCCCTTACTTATTGATCACTCTATATATTACGGTGGAAGAACTTGCACGTTGTTCGTTGGAGTCCTTTCCGATGTGTTTGGGTACTCTCAATGACCACCTCCGGTGGACAATTCGAGGAAAGTTATCGTATGAAAATTATTCTCTCCGGACACGACCGCCGCTCATCTCTCGGCTAAAACGTACGACAAGTCTGTTGTTTGCGTTATTTTCGTCATAAGGTCCGTGTAAAACGGTCTGGCTGTGATATTCCCGTGCGCTCTCGGTATCACTTTCGTATGTCGACACACTACTATTTGAACGTATGCTAATAAAAAAAAATAAATAAATAAACAGTGCCCGTATATTACCGGCGTACACGAGGAAACGAACGGGTCGTCATAACCGGGATATCTGGAATGATCTAATCGTTGGGTTAAAAATAGAGAGTATTTTAACTATTTCTTTTTATTTCGAGTGTAATAAAAAACAACAGCACGCAGTATTTGGCCGCACACATTTTGTACGACACACGTCCAGATAACAAGCGTTCGACCGTCCAGCGTATGAATGTGAATATATTCTGAAAAAATGCGCTTGTAGTTGTATATGATTTTGTTTTGTTTCTACGTCGGACGGATAGAACAAGAATGTCGTTTTACTCGAAAACCATTAGCCGACCTAAGAAATTTTTTCTCGTTCTGCAGTCGTCGGACGGCGGCGCCTACGCCGTCGTCGTGAGCGATTGTCAATTGATAAAAAAAAATAAATAATAACATGAAAGGATATCAGTGGCGTTCGACAAAGAAGTGTTGTGTTGACACATTGAGCGCAAATACGGTAAGCGAGCAGGTACGACAATAACGCGAGTACGATGCGCGCGTGCATTATTTTGACGTGCACCCCAACCCGAATACCTAAAATAATTTTAAGAAGTTTTACGGCACGACGGTGTTTAATAGATCTCCGTGAATCACGGGCGTTGATCAATCGCATTAATCATCGACGATTAAAAGCAATACCGCCGCCACTTGAACAAATAATAGTAATAAAACGTCCAAACAATGAATGGACGTTTGAACGCGTACAAATAGATTTCCATCGATGGGTTACGATAATAGGGTCATTAACTAAAAATTATAAACTATACTACATAATATCTGGGTTATCAGTGTAACTGATTTGAAAAACACAATCTCAGCTGCGAATCTATAGTTATGAGGCAACACTACGTGTGACTCATTAATTATTAGGAGTTTTATACATATATGTAAAGAAAATGCTTTCTTCGTTTAAGTATTACACGCGCCTTTTATTTACCCCGCCAGATGGAACTGATCAGGATAAGATGATAAAATATTGAAGTCTTTGATAATAATAAAAAATAAAGATTGATAATTTAGAAAATTGTTTTAAGATTGTAAATTAAGTAAATTGTTTTTAAAATTGTTAAATTGTTAAGAATGGTAATAGTAAACATAAATTGCTGTTTTACAGGAAGTCTTTTAAATAGTGTAAATAATGTAAATAATACATAATAAACCAAGTGTTTATTATTATCCATAAAGAATTTAACATCATTATATATACATAGCGAAACGAGACACGCATAATTTATTATGTTTAATTTGTTAAGAATAAACGATTAAAATTATTAACTAAATAAATAATGTATGTTTTTACGCCGAAAAGAGTGTTGCACTTGGTTTTGTTAAAAAAAAATTATTCGTGACATTCTTAATATTTTTAAATTCAATAATGATTTAAAATTATTTTAAAGTAATTTCAATATTTATGAATTTTTTATTTATAAATACATTTTATGTGTTGGTTTAATACACGCCAATTTCAAATATTCGAGTGCACCTTTATGACAAGATCGTTGCCCAAAAGGGCGTATTTCTATTAGCTTAGAACTATGAAATATAGTCGATATTTGATAAGCTAAATAATTAAAGCTAACCCGTAAAATTTTAATAATAATTTAAATAGGAGAGATAAAATCTTGTTAGTTTAAAACTGTGGTCGTCATATTAAAAGCTGTAAAAAAGAAAAAAATACCTCCGTTGTAAACCAAACGTATTCAATTTTTCCATTTTTAAAAGTGGATTGAAAGAAATTAAAACATTTAAAAAAAACGACTGTTCTGGGTTTGTTTGGGATGGGCGAATTGGACACGACATCGGTATAATTATCGTGAAAAACGCTTTGATGAAATCTGTAGATTGTATTTAACTTTTCGTGGCGATTTATGTATTGTGTCGAGTATAGTGTAATACCTACGAAGTCGACGGCGGTGTGCCGATGAAGTCAAAGTACAAGTATCGATTGCGGTCGCATGGTAAAAAACGTACACGTCGAGCGGAATGGCCGGTGAAAGGCGCGATACGTCTTGTTGTCTGTCGCAGAGAGAAATCCGACACGAACAACGGCGGCACCGACCAGCAGCGCCAGGGGGGGGGGGCATTGAGTGGCTCGCACACCAATATCTGTCGATCCGAACAAATCAACGTCACGCGCAGATCGTAAAAAATACTACTCGAGTCGGACTGCAATGCGTTCGCGCTTTGTTATAAATGAAAAAACTCCATACGAGATGTGTCGAAAATTACTTTCTACTTGGACTCTCCCGAACCACAGTTGGGTAGTCTGGAGTTGTATAAAAACGAATAATTTCCACAGTTTCTCGTCGCCGTTTTCCTGCGATAAAACCGAAGGGTCTCCCCTACTCGCTGTCGTTGTGCTTTTAATACTTTTAATATTTTATTTTGTAATATTTTAAGTCATCAATCGGTTTCACGGTCGTGTTTCTCTCCGGCGATAATCGAAAGACGGACGATGAGCAGCAGAGGTGCTCAAAATACGATAGCAACAGTTTTCTCGCGGGCCATTTCAATGATAAAAAAATAAACACTCGGACAGTGTAACGTATTGTAATGGACCGCGGACACGTTTCTTACGGGCGCGCGCTCGATTAGCCCCTTCACAGTAGTAATAACAATCATATGTTATCACGACGGGTTAACACAATGAACGACGACGGTTGTCGAATCTGTCAACGTATAAACGCATTGCATTTGAAAATACACGCGGGGGATGCATTGTAAATAATCTGCAAGCATCTCCTGCGCAGCGGTCGCATTTGAATATAATAAGCGATCGGGCCGTGTCGCCCGTGAGATCTGTGGTGGTCGGCGACGGCCGTAAAAAACACAAGGTACGCCGGGTGCGTGCGTGCGTCCGGACGATTAAAAAACGACCGTTCGAACAAACGCCTAAAGTGCGCCTTGCCGGCGCTGCTAATAATGTGACGGGGTCGGAGCGGCCCCGTCGCAGTTTGACCTTAAAGTGGAAACGCCAAGGACGAATATGCACAAACTCACAAATCGTATACAAAAATATTACAAAAACGTATATTTACACAATAACATTGACAATTATAAATAATGTATATAGGAAATTTCATTTAACAATTTTTACGGGCATATAATTTCACACACGCGATTTCATTGTACTTCGTATGCTAAAATTACAATTGAAATGTACAAATTAATAATAATAATATGGTTAATCGCTTTCAACGATACTCGTCTGTATACATGTATAATACAAACATAATATATAATATTATAGTGTATACATAGTAGATGTTATTTACATTAGGACAGTTTTTATGTACAACAGTGTTTTTTATTTATTTACTTATTTTTTTTTTTAGTCCACTTGAATTTCAAACGGTAAAAAAAACTACACAACATCGTATAGCTAAAGGAACTAAACTTGTCATAAGATTACCATTGTGCATGGCGTCTAAAGAATAACATACATAAATGGATATACACTATCAGCAATAATATATAACCGATCACAAATATTGTTGTTTTTTTTTTTTTAGTATTGCAAATACTCAAAAAAGAACATATAATAATAATTATGATGAGAATTACAACGCGTGTCACTTACAATCATATTATAATATAGTTTTTACATGTTGTGTTTTATGTTTATGTACACACACACACACACACATTTAATTTATCTCAATAACATAAAATACCAACGAGAAATAATTAAACGTGTAATAAGAACGGATTTTCATACTTTGGGCATTAGTATAGTGTAATATAAATGTAAATTTAATTTACTGCGATCGATAATAAATTATTCAGTACATTAATATTGTGTTGCGATAATAAATAATTATACATAAATATATTTAAAGTAATAAATTAATAATAATAATAATAGGAAACAGAAGTGTTGTAAAAACGAATATAATAAAAAATCGTTACGGAGAAGTTAAAACCAGCAGAACTATAAGAAAAATTTATATAAAATTGAACGGGTATTATTTTCGAGAGATAAACTCTCTCTTTTTTTTAGAAAACACCGGATTTGGTAATAGAAACAACGATGCAGTGATTGTTTCTTGTTTTATATCATGCAACAATATAAATATTTGATTTTTGTTGGGTGTTGTGGTGTATAGGCTAGGTGGTGGGCTCGGGAACAAGTCGTATGAGAAGAACAGAGACAGACGGATAAAAAAAGATTGCGAGAGAGAGAGAGTTCAACGAAGAAACGCGGCCGTCGAGTGGCGCGTATTACACAATAAAATAAAAAAATGCGTTATTATATCATTATCATAGGAATGGACGCCGTCGATGAACGGGGTCGACGAAATTGGACGAACGTCGTCCGACGGGAACACCGCGGTGGTTCTCACAGACACGTGTTAATGGTTTTCTTGTACTGGCAGACGTTGCACTTCACTTCGCAGCACCACAGAAAAGTGCAGTTGCACCGTTCCGACACGAGCGCCTGATGGGTCTTGTAGCCGCGGCCGCAGCACATCAGGTCGCAACCGTCGACGCCGATAGACGATTCGTTGCACGCCCGGCCGTGCGTGCCCAGTATGCCCAGCCTGGAGTTCTGTTCGCAAAAGCCGGGCGACGGTTCCAGGTACACCAGGTCCTTGGTGCCGGGCGCTTTCAAGTCCGGATTGTACGGCTTCAGCTGGAAGCCGTACCGACTCCGGCCACCGCCACCGGCGAGTCCGTTCCGGCCGTTCGCGGCGATCTGCTGCCGACGGTCTCGGCCGTCGTCCCGGTCGCCGCCACCGACGACCACGTCGTCTTCTGACACTGCCGCCGCACCGCGCGGTTCGTAGTGTTTGTTTTGAGCGTTGTCCTTGCGCCTGAGCCGCCTCAAACCGCCGGCGTTGCCCACCATCACCCGGGACGCTCCGTCGAATCTGTCTTTGAGGTTGTCGCCGATCGACCGGAAATTGGGTAATTTCATCCAGCAAGTCTTCACCGTACACGAACCGGACATGCCGTGACACTTGCACTCTTGTTTCATTTCGGACTGAACGTGCTGTGAACAAAAACACAAGGAATTTAGTAATACTCGCGCAGTTCATTTATACTTTTTTAACGATACTACAATCGAATATAAACTATATGCGGAAATAAACTTGTACACTGTATAACAGAACCCGCACGCCAGTACAATAGCACCACTCGATCGTTAAAAAAATAACCAATACCGGCGTAATAGAATTATTAGCGAGTACACTTATTTGTAATTAGACGTACGGCCGTGGTGACGGACGTCGGCTACGGGAAACGTCGTGTGTCCCCCTCGCCGGCCGGATCATCAAATCGTAATAATTGACTACATGTCGAACGGAGTGAAAGTCGATAGGGGAAAAAAAAATTTACCGCCATTGTCGTGTCAATTATACACGCCCGGGCAGCGGCGATGCGAACGCTGCTGCTGCCTCTCCGCGACGGTCAGCGTATTGTGCGTGCTCCCCCTGTCTTCCGCGTGCGTGCGTATCCGGACAGGTATCCACGAACAGGACAATTGGCGGCCGGCGCGCACTGACGACGACGACGATCTATCAAACGCGCGGGGGGGCTGTCTTAATATCGTAATTTATCGGAGACGCCGTTTTCAATAGGACCGATACACTGCTGTCAGCCGATTATCTATTGTGCCCTGCGCGCGTTGCCTCCTCGAACGGTGACCGTTTTTCTCAAGACGTCATCACTTCTCTCCCGCGTCCTCGTCATCGTCTCCTCTCCTGCATCGGTACATTTTTTATTTATATTCCACTCCATCCGTTGCCGTCGCTCCGCATTTGAATTTATACCTCTCTCGTCGTTGCCATTATATATATTATTATTGTTATTATTATTATTAGTATTAGTATTACATTGCGTGTTGCATTACATTACGTACAATGGTCCGGTGGACGTAACACACGCTGCTGCGTTTCACCGTGAACAATGACAGCGTCAATTCCAAAGGCGACTGCTCGCGACAATCGCGTTAAAAATATGTATGGATATATATTTTTTTCCTTATTTTAATTGTCATTAAACGGTCCGGGAGACGCGTGTCTGAAATAGTGATTTCGGACTGTTCGCAGCGTCAGCACACCTCTCCTCGCGCGAAAGACACACGCATACGCCGTTCAAAGACAATTGTGTCGCCGCCGACAATACTTTCCCGCGGCGTCCTCGGTGTCTCGCTCCGTACCGTTCCGGTCCATTTTTCTATTTGTCGGCATAAATATTATCTATCCAAATAGAGAGAATACACGCACGAGAGAAATTAGGAAACTCGCCTATGATTGGTCGCGCGTAGAAAACAACATTATTGTTCTGATCCCGGCCGGTCAAAGCTCACGCGGCAATGGCGGTGGTCACACACAACGTGTGGGTGGCCCCTTTAGTCATGGTGTACATACGCGCGTATACGAGACGTGTACGGCTAGCGTAGCGAACCCGGCCGCTTATACGGCTATCGTGCGAGCCGCTTACAACAACGCGCACGCACACACCACGGGCACACGGTCCGCCGGACCGTGATGTACGCCGCCGCTCACGTTGTACCGCCGCCGAATAGTCTACCCCCTCTTACCGAATTTAATAAAAATTATGACGTCGCGGCTTAATGTAATGTAATCTGTGTGTGTGTAACAGACAACACACAAATATACACTTCTTTCTTCTCTCGCGCGCCCGGACCACACCGCGGTGTCGGTCGCTCGTGTATAATATGTATAATTAAAACAAAAAAATATAAAAAAACAATATAATACGATTGTGTACATTGTGTGCGCGCGCCCCCGCTGATCTCGACGCAATCTATAACACGGTGCCCCCCTCCCCTGGATAGCGTCATCTCCCGAGAGTAGTGCGCACCGCACGACTAATCTTCGGTTGTTTTTCGATCGTGATTCATTCAATTTCAGTCATTTGCAATTACACATCAGCCTGTTGAGTCATTTCATTTCATTTTTTTTTTTTTTTTGGGGGTGATATTTTTAGTGAGTTCCACTTAACGATTACAACGATTTTTTAGGGGGGGAAAAATAGATCGTCAAAAATTCGTTTCTCAACTTCCAAGCGTTACGAAAGAAATTTAATTAAACAAACGAAGCTGCTGCTCATTTACGTCCTTTAACTTTATTACTGTTACTTATTTTATAATACTTTTATATTTAAACATCAGAAGCGGCGGTGCCGGCGGTTAGCGAACCGGTGTAGTGAGTCAACAGTATATTCTATAGACAGGCGGACGCGTAATAAGAAAATTAAAATCGAAAAAATAAAAAGAAGAGCCGCATACCAAACGACTAATCAAACAGCCATTCGTTCATGCGACAAATCCGTTCGGTTCCGAAATGATTTCCCGACTGCCGTCAACGTGACCGCCTCTCACTATTCCTACCGGTCGTTTACCACTCTTGCGACGACTGCGGAGGCGGTGGTCTGTGCACCAGCCAGTAAACTCGGTTAACAATAATTAAATATTAATTATTTTACACGTATTTGTTATTGTTATTATTATTTGTCGTCGCCCGTAAAATATTTTCAACGACGGCTACCGGACGCATAACACACGACGTTACAAAGCAGATTCGTTTCCTTTATCTCACACACGGTGAGCGAACACGACGAAAACATATTTTTCATCGTTCCGCGTATGAGAAACACAACCGAACGTTTCATAAACTCGTCGTCCGAACTACAAATAACAAGTATGGTCGCGGAGTTTGTTTTTTATGTAATTAGAACAACGAACCACTAGTTTTAATTGTCGTACAAGAATAAAATATAAAACATTGTAAAGATTAGAAAATCTGATAGTACTACTCACCATTCGACCGGCTTCGTTGTTGTGCAAGTTCATTTTCTCCCGCAGACTCCGACCTCGTTCGCCCGTGTCCACAAACATCCTGGCGAATTTGTATCCGAAATCGATGTTGTCCGAACAGCCTCCCCATTCCCAGTCTTTGACACCGGGCACGGAGTTCTGGACGTAGGGACCCCGGCGTTGATGGGACGTGTCGCACGTGCACGTCTCGATCGCTCCCTCGGCACACGCCCTAGACACGGCGTGCGTTACTCCGGCGCTGGTGATCGCGTAGATGAACGCCGTTTCTCTGAAACCTAAAATCGACATCACTATTAGAACATCATCAAGATCGCCTGGACACGCGGCTTGCCGCAACAATACAACGCCGCCGGTATACCGGTCTCGGACTGTCGCGCTGTGACCGGGAAAAGCTCGCACCGCGTATGCACAAAGCGTTTGACGGGCGCCAATGAAAAATAAATTGTTCACACCGGTGGTGCGTTGATGGCGATTAAAACGGACGGTAGCGTCTCCGCAAAGTGGCACCGGCCGTCGGTGGTCCACAGCGGAACGCACCGTCATTATATGCCATCGCACATAATGGCCGGTGTACGCTGGAGCATACACCACACAATGCGTACAGATACGGGCCCGTCACGGTCGAATGGTAAGCCACCAACGCTGCGTTGCGAATCGCCAGAAAGAGGTGAAGTGATGTGAAAAAAAAAGCATCCCTCGGCTACCGCAGGTAGTCTCCTCCTCGTCATCCGATGCGTGTTACGGCGATCAATGGCACTGCGCGATACGAATATATGTGTACACGCATATTATAAATCTAACGACGGGCAAACGATGGCACCCCTCTCCTCCCCTCGGAGATACTATAGCTCTGACAATAGCGCACACAATACACCGACGTCGTAATTTCTGACCGGCCCATTGTGTGTGAAACCGTCACCACCGCAGCAGCAGGCCCGACCTGACCGCACCGCGGACGGACGCTACTAGTATTTTTTCGCGTCCGCCTACGATCGGTCGCATCATGTGGCCCCGTTCACAAAAAGTTTCCGCGTGTCAGCGGGGGGCGTACGGATACGCGACACGTATTGTTGTTGCCCGGGGACGACGTTTCGCTCTGTCCAACGGTAATCGAACATAATTACCCGTGGAAAGAGCGAAACGACAGGACGACGAGTGGAAAATAACAAGTACATTTGTGACATTCCCGAAAACGCGTTGCTGTAGGTACCAAACACTCGCTCGCAGAAACGATAAGTACTAAACGAGGCGTGCACTACTGGAACAGAAATAAAGAGAACAACAATAAAACGTTAACTGTTCACACACTGGGATCGAGATATTCATCGGATACCCTTCTCCGCGATATTGTAACCCAAACGGATAGTGATTCCCGTCCGATCCTTTAATGCGCCTCGAGCGTGTCATAACGATTCAAAGGACCACTCGACCATTAACGACTTTAAATAGGTAAATTCTTTTTTAGATTTAACAAGAGACAGTAATATAGAAATATCCGGATAATCTATTCGTGCCAGACACTTTTTTATGTTTTATTTTTTTTTTGATATTATTTGAAAAATACACAAGGTTTCTTTTATGTGACATTTTTCTCGACAAAATGCCGTATTTTCTTTTCATTGCCGACCGGTTTAGTCGGTCAAACGTTAGAAAGAAGTACCGAGTTCGGCCCGAGTATAATAAATAATAAACGCCGTTGGCGGTTGTGCCGGACAGGCTGTTTCTCCGCAGGAAACCCTACTGATGACGACGTTATTAGTCGACTAATAATCCACATAATATTATTATTTTGTGTGCGAGTGTAGTATAAACGTACCGACGGCGACCGATTAACGTCAACACCGACCGCTCGAACACAGACGACCGTAGACACTCGCCCCACGCGACATAGTACACACACCGAATACTATGTACATAATTGTCCAGTACAAATGAGTTTATTAAGTATAAAAAATGTTGGACGACCTTTGGGTCCTGGAAACAGTGAGCGGTCGCTAGCAACGTACGACAAATTTCAAAACGGGAAATAATAAGTAATATTATAAAACGGTCATGTGTCGACTGTTGATTGGGTGAAATAAATATACATGTATAATAAATATGTATAAAAATACATGACTTCGGCAGTGCCAAAATGAAAATAGACACGCGTCCTTGAACCTTGGGTATAATTCGTGAGGATATTGAAGTGCGACAAGAATTCAACGACCGTCAAAACGGTCAAATGTGTAAATATTTAAAATGTGCACGCGGAAACTGGAGAGTAAAAATTTTATTATAAATTTTGAGAAGATTGTGGTTTTTTTTTTCGTTGAGCTTCTGCGGTAGGTAACGGCATCGTTGAGATTTCACGGGTCAGAAACGTTGTGCGATTAATAATTACTGCGGCCGATAAGAATCTATACATTTTATGACGCCAGCGCGATCGCCAAAAAAAAAAAAATAAACACCTGTTGTATAAAATGTAAATATGTCGGCCGAGTGCCATTGCGTCCGGACGCGTTATTAATATCGAACGGAATATGAAATTATGGAGATGAGATCGCATTTATCGCCCACCCGTGTAAAGTAATAAATAATTCGTTTGCCATGTTTTGTTTCTCGGACGTTTTTAACGTGTACGCGGCCCCCCCGTCGTTTTTCGCTTCTTCCGGAACGTCGTGTCGACGATAGTCTGTTGCTCCCTCCTCCCCTACAAATCAACATGACCGACCGGCATCGCTTGCGACCCGTTGTCGTCGTCCGGTTTGTCCAACGCGATGTGACAAATCGACACGCGTTTGTAATTGGTGGCGGTGTGCGAGTGTCGTCCGTTCGTTGTTTTGTCGTACGATGAATGTGCGCGCGTACACGAAGATCGAAACCGTATACTACTACTCGATGGTTTTTAACTTTGGCAAACTTCTTGTGTTGTTTGTTATTGTTATTATTATGTCCGTACGAAAACGAGATTTCATAGGTAAAAAAACGACGGCGTTCGGGTACGATAGCGGTTTGTGTGTGTGTGTGTGTGTGGTAGCTGCAAGGATGGGTTAATAAAAAAAAAAAAAACGGTAATGCGACCCAACCGATACCGTACCGTAGTAGGCGCCCCGGCGGGGGAAGGGGGTGCGAGCACAGGTTATAAGGTCGGCGCGTACATAATAGACACGTACGTATCTATTATTAAACGGGTCGGCGGCCACGATTCGTGCAGACGAGTAACGTTTTCCCCGTTTGGGACCTGTCGTCGTCCGCGTCAACCGACGGCCACCACAAAAACCCCTACAGGGAATTCTGTGGCCGCCGTGGCAGTGATTGCGTGTGTCGATCGAATCGAGACACGTGTACGACGAACCGTTTACGGGTCGACGACAACGGCGTGTAAACACACTCGTTAGACCCCGTTAAAATTTTTTATCGCAGTAACGAATGCTTTACTCGAATTTCCAACGGGTTTTAACACTCAACGTTCTCATGCGGAATCTAGTAAATCAATATCCCCAACCGTTCCCGGGCTAATATGTAAAATATTTCCGGGTACGAGTTTCAAAACTTTGTTTTCTCACTACTAGACGTAATTGGAGCTTTTGTACGTCCCGCGCCGCTTACCTCGGTCGACGATTTTTCCAAACAAGTTCTTGCCGGTCAAGAAGTTTTTCGTCGAACAGTTCCACCGTCTGTTTCGGAACTGATGTTGACATTCCTGCAGCGCCATGTTCACACCGCGGCTGATGGCCAGTTGCACGCCGGGATTTTCGCGGATCATCCGCCTCTGTTTACTCCGCAGTAGGGTGGCGGTGGACGACGACGACGACGCGTCCATAAACACGAGGCCGGGCGTCATGGGCGCCAGGTTGTTTGGTTCGCCAGCTTTAGCAATGCCCCTGCGAAAATTTAAACAAAAAAACACATTATTGCAAATCGAATCGAGTGTACATGTTTCTACCTCTCTCTCCCTCCCTCTTCGAGTCGGTACGCGCAAACGGTGGTGGCGACGAGTTGGGTACGTACCGCACACAAACCAGCAATAATAATAAATCTCGGTGGCGTCCAAGGGCCGCGCGCGATTCCAACCCGACGGTGTCGCGGACGCGTTTTCACTTAAAATCGTCGCGACGCGTTTAATTCTCTATAGACTCATGCGCACATCGGTCGGACTGAGAATTTATTTTTACACACAACTACGCCGTCTCCGCTCGAGTGGCTCCTTAACGGCGTCCTCGCGTGCCGCCGACATTCGATGTGTGCGTAAGGACAGCCGTCACCGTCGACGTGTCAACAACACTTTGACGATGTGTACAGTCAGGGGCGGCGATTCATCCAGTGAAACGGTGGTAAAGACTCCGAATAATGACTGCCCGACAATGATGTGACCGGCCTAGTGCACGCAGTGTAATAATATACACCGATAATGTGCACGTATGTTATGTTGTAGAGTACTTGACATATATCATGTGTTGGAGTGTGTGTACAAAGAGTCTGGCGATCAACAAGACCTAATGGGACGTTACACGAATGTTGAACATAACGTTGTTTACGTTCGTGTCAATACTCGATGGTGTGTGTCACACACATTGTCACACCGACAGTCGAAAATCACAATTTTAATGCGATGCGGATTAAAACGAATTTTAAAAAGCGCTGACGAAGAAAACAAATTCAAATCGTTCGGAAACGATTAGTGTAGTGGCGGAGGACGTGATGGTTTTCAAATGAAATCAGTCGGCCGCTCGGTCCGTTGACTCGATCGGTTGTAAAAGAAAAATTTAAAAAAATAACACAGAGAACAACGTAGTAATATCCGGAACGCTGTTTGTCAGCGTTAAAACTAAACGGGACACGATTAAACGGCACAGAGACGTGGAAAGCGTTTCGCGAGTAATTTACAACATCGTAAATCTTAAATGAATTTCCAGAACTAGTAAACACGCTCGCCAACCACCAGCAGCACCGATGGACGTGACGACAGCGTAATTTAGAATTTTTTTTTTTTTTCAAGCGACGATTATCGTACAACTGTCGACGTGTTCAAGAGATAAAAGATAAATCGGCGGTGGCCTATAAGAGAATGTGTCCGCGGTAGACGTTTACTGGTGTGTGTGTGTGTGTGTGTATAAACGGACCAAGGGAAAAAAATATGTACCGTACACGTATACATAATATTATATCATAGGCGTATACATATATATATGTACTAGCACACACGCATACAATAAGGGCAAAGTGATAATATTATATTCATAACTCGTTTACCTCNGTATAAACGGACCAAGGGAAAAAAATATGTACCGTACACGTATACATAATATTATATCATACGCGTATACATATATATATGTACTAGCACACACGCATACAATAAGGGCAAAGTGATAATATTATATTCATAACTCGTTTACCTCTTTTCTCTTTACCGTACTAGTCCGGCATTTCTCTCGGTTTCTTTTTTTTTTATAAATTTGTTTTGTTTTTGTTCGTACACGTTTAATTTATAGTATCGCCACCACCGAACACTCCGAGAGCATCTCTAGGCTCGGTACACACACCGTTGCTATGCTATCTCCTCTCGATCGTCGTCGTCGTCGATGCCGTGGGAATATATTCGCGGCCGCCGTTCTTTCTCCTTTACCACCGCCATCTCTCCCCGGACGACATATTTTTTTTTTTTTTTTTTTCATTTTTTGTATCTATGAAACTTCATTTTAAGTTCAAAACTTAAAAATGCATATAGAATGTAATCTTTTTCAACTTAATTTTTGAAAGTTTTCCGGAAAAACTGACACTTATATATATATATATCTTAAATTAAAGATAATGTAATATACTTTATTATGATTAACAATGTCGGACTTTATTTTATTTACACGGTGAGAATTTAAAATTTTTAACTNCGCGTGTCCACGTGCGACACGCAGACGACGTCCCGGGGTCGTCGGTGCCACACGGTCGGGTTGGTGTTTTTTGGCTCTCGCAGTCGAGTATTCTCAAATGAAACGCGGCGGCGCGCACAGGCCACCAAACGGTACCAAACGATTATCCGTTCAATGTGTTAAACGGATAATGGACACGGTTTAACAGTATTGGGTCCGTGGCGCAACAATAACTCGGTTCCGTATACGGACTATCCGCCGAGCAGTTAACAACGTGTGTAATCGACTGCGCGCGCTCGTTAGTCGGACGTATCGGTGTTACACACGCGCGCGCGTAATTGAACAAACGCTTAAAATGGTAATGTGCGCCGCGCGTTTGGCGTTGTCATTAGGGAAGCGGTCGTCGGTTCGGGTTGGGTTTGTCGCCGTTAACGAATTTAACGGGTCGACTAATGCCGCGTCGTCTCGCGGTTCTCGGCGCGTTCGAACGGGGAACCTCCAACTACTTGTCGTCGTCGTCGTCGTACGGGTTTTCTCGGTAGGTGCGCGCACCCGGACCCGAAATCAATTAACGAAATTAACGGCGCGTTACCGTCGGCGAGGGTCGGCCGAGCGTCTTCTAATTAGTGTTTGTGTGGCGACTAAACGATTTTTACGGCCGACACGCTCCCCTCCCCCCCCCCCCCAATGGCACGTAAACGGCACGCGGTGTATAACGAAATAATTGTTATTTCGAGAATATTAGTTCAAGTCGCATAACATTATGTATATACATATATAATACCAGCGATAATGATATATTACTATCGTTAAACACGGTCGTCACGACCGACGGACGTCGATTAACCCAAAAAAATTAGAAAAGACCGATGACGGCCGAGGGGAGAGCAGAGGAGATACGCCCGTGGATCGTGTGTTACATCGAGGTTAACGGCGACAGCATTACGCAACGTCACTAAAAAACATTTTCGCGTCAATCGTACGGGGCAGATGAATCGTGTGGTCCGTTCGCGTATAAAAGTTATGGACGTGCGACAAAAGTACGTCACGACGGCGTAAAAGTGCTGTGCGCGCGACAAACTATGAGACGGACCTATTGCGAGCGCAGTGCTATGAGACATCGTCGCCGGCGTTTTGTAATTATTTCCCAGAGATAAAAAAACAAACTGCACACCTTACTGGGGTTTGTACACCGGAAAACACCGCGCATTGTGTACTTCTATCGAAAAGGCGTTCGTCAGTCGGCGGAGCGGAAGAATGTTCGAAAATCCGCCCCTTCCGACGATGCGCCCAGTTAGTGTGTGTACTCGTTTTGAAAATTACACTACGCCGGAGATCGGAGCAATAAGATAATGCTGCAGATAATATATGTGTTTTTTATACGTTATGCGCGATTCCGTTTCTATATAAACCGGATAAAGATATTAATAATAAAATCGACTGGCGAATCGACATCACAATAGGCGCGCCCTATTTAACATACCGACAATAACGTCTCGTACGTCGGGTGGATCTAGACGCTCAGACGGCTACTTTCGGGAGAGTTGCCCCCGTCCGTCGACGTAGAGGCTATCGGAGCGCCGTTCGCACGGACCTGCTTGTTTAATCGCGCGCATCCCTTTTTTTTTTTTAATCATATCATTAGATCTTTTTTCCACGAAATTGCCGAGAACAATGTACCCTATATCGCGATGATTCACTCCGGAGATAATCGTTACCGTATTGTGTTCCTTCCGGTTTCCACCACGGGTTGACTCATCCGGAATTGGATGATATCGATAGGCAACTACAAAACNACCACGGGTTGACTCATCCGGAATTGGATGATATCGATAGGCAACTACTACAACGGTGAAATCGTTTGTCGAACAAATTTAACGTTTTTTTTTTTTTTATTAATATCGGATGCGTATTCGCTGTGAAATGTTACTACACCCTGTGTCGTGTTACAATAATCGAAATGCTGTGGGGCTTTAGATAATTTTTTCCAAATTTTTTGAACGAACGAACGTAGTGATCAATTATTTTTATATATAATAAGCGATAAATGATATTGTTCTGTAATGCAATCGGATAAATTATTATTCATAATTTAAAAAAAAAAACTTACCATCTTCCTTTCCTTTGGATAATGATAAACTTTGTACATTTATATACGTAGAGTTTATAAAAAAATAAAGCAAATTATTGTTAGGGCCATTATTTTATTTATTCACGAAATAAATTATAGTAAAAAATTTAATCGTCTTAACGATTTTAATCGAATTTTGCGTATTCGATCGGCTAAATGGTTTTTTTGCGTATTAAAAATACTTCCAACTAAATTCATATTTGAAATAAAAATATTTTCCGTCAAGTATAAATAATAAAACGTTAAATGTTTAAATAAACACTAATTTTTAGTGTTGATAAATGCGCTAAAATAATTTCTCCATTCAGAGCGGCAAGAAAAAACGTTAGAAATGTTTGGCTTATTATTATTACTTTTTTTTCTGTCGTTTAAACGGAACCAAATCACTGCCGTAAGAAATATGACTGAACGACAACATTTTTTATGTTCGTAATATTTGTACTATTCGCATAATTCGTAAAAAAGCCGCGAAAAGTGGTAAAATTAAGAGGGTAGACCTAACAACGCCGAGCAAAACTAGCTGCTAATCGATTCAAAACGACCTCGAATGATTAATTCGAAATGAATTTTTTCTGGGGCACGGCACGAAAATAATTCACAAAGTACGGGATGCTGTTGGGACTGAAAATTACTTAACAAGTCACATATTTGTCGGCCGAGAGGTACACATAATCGTTATTGATATAATTACTCGTCTAATTACATCCGTCTTACGCCGTTAAGTCGCGATGAACAGTTTTTCCAAGACGATTTCCAACGCGCCGCCTCCTTACTCGCAACACTTCTCTCGGGCCCTCTCGAAACGTTTTCGCCAGTCGAGCGAAAAAACCGCACGACCGACACAAAAAACTATGCAGAAAACACAACGGGCGTGTGCGTGTTGTACTCACCACCAGTGTGTGCCTTTGTATTTTCCCTCCCTGTGCTTGGCGCACGCCCGGGAGATTTCGTCCACCACGAGTCCCAGGACAATGACGGTATTGATCACTAGTGACGGTTTCATGTCATCACATTTCTAACTACACTGCAATGTTGGACGAACAGATTATTTACGAGAATACAAAACGAACGTTTTAAACAAAACGATTAAAAACCAACGCCGACCGACACGGAGAACGCGCAGAAAACTGACACGCGAAAAAAATGACAATATCGACACTCGGACACTTGACGAACGCCCGTAACTCGTTGAACGAGACGTATATATGTTTCAAATGAAATAAAAATCGACGCGATACTGTGTGCGTTTCACTATTTTTTTTTTAGTGTTCTGCGGTCGCGCTAAGGTTTAACGCACCCCGGACTGTCGGAGCGGGACAACTGATGGTGAATGAGATCGACGGTCACCAGGAAAACCTTTCTGTCGCATCCTCCTCCTCCTCCTGTCCATACCGTCGTGGTCCGCGTCGGATCCACCCGCATCCCGGTGGGCGGACCGCCAGTCGAGAGACGCTCTCCGCCCATACGGTCCGGCTTACGCCCATTCTCCTCCTTGTTGCGCCGCTCGTCTTCCTCCGCGCACACAACACTCGAACGGCGCGCAGCGTGCCTGTTTTTTGCCGCACAACATCGCGTTTTACACGGTGTTAAAAAATAACAATCGCGCTAATGGAGTGCACTAAAATCGTTGATTTTATTATTACCACCACTGTTACTCGCGAGTACCGCAGCGGTTTTTTTTTTTTTTTCATGCACTTGTGTCTATGCGAATTCCTGAATTTGAGAAACCGGCCGAAAATCTCTGCGGCGGTGCGCGTACCCGCCCAGACTTGCACAACCTCTTTTCGGACACTCGTGGAGGAGTGCGTGGGCAGCAGAGTGTAATTATTGCGTGTTATTTGTATTTTTTTTTTTACACACACACACCGCCGCCGTAGACCCTTAAACGCCGAGTGGAGGCGCCTGTGCATAAAACGCGTAACGACAATAAGTAAAAAGAAAACAATTAACTATAACCCGTAAGGACACTGCGCGAATAATAATTTCCGTACTATGCCTAGAAACCCAAAAGTACACAATATCATTCCTGTTTTACGATCGCCTCGCGCCCTAAAACAAAACAAAAATCATTTCGATTGTACAAAGTCGCACGTGGTCAAAGCGAGACGATCATATTCGTTTGGCGAAAATCATCTGATCACTCGTAAAGTTTTTCAATTCCAAAAAAACGCATTTATCATCCGACCGTACGGCTATAAACGTACTCTTAGCAGAATTATGGCGTTCGCTAATAAGAAAAATGAATTAATTAAAAAAACGCGCGAGGATATTACTAAACTCGGTCGGTCGACAATAATCCACCACGGGTGTAGTAAAACTCGTAAAAAAAAATAATAACATGTCTGTTTAATTGATTTTTTCATTGTAAAATAACGCCGTGGCTTACGAATTATTGGCGATCGATACAATGACTTTTATTGTGTTGCAAAAGTGTTAAGGATCCGGTTAGTTAACGTTTCACCGGAAGTATCTACGAATAAATACGATAAGATTGTTGTTCGACGACAAGTCGTCGAGACATTCATAACTTTATTTGATAAATATTTAGCCGTTTAAAACGCATAAATTGACGATGAGTAATATTTCCAGGAAAATATCTTAAACGATTTATAGTGTATAGGTGTAGATTTATGAATAATTCATAAATAATTATTAATTCACAATGGTTTCTATGAAATTAATTTAGACAAAATATAATTTTAGTTGTATAGAATTCTGTTTTTGGAGGTCTCTCAATTACACATAATATGCACTAGATTATAATAATTAATAATCGATTAGAAAAACTTATTGTATTCAACTTTGTTTTATTGAAACAAAAAAAACATCATAAATTAAACAAGAAGTACAGATTTTAATTGTTTAGAATCGTAAATGTTGATGGATAGACTAATTGTTTGTTGCATCCATTTGTCTGGCACAGTCAAGATACAATAATCGATAATAAATAAAAATTTGTTATATCTTGCCGACGGACTAAAACAACAAATATATTTCGTCCATTAGTTCATCAACCAAAACTCGTGTATTGTCACCATGTTTTTCTTGGGGCACGGACTTTGTTCAAGTCAATACATTCGTATTGTTTAGTACGATAATTCTATTGACGTTTCTCACACGTTTTGACAATTTATATACAGAGTGTTCACTGTGTAAAGAAACGGGTTTCTACTGTTCTATTGTTCGTAACAATTGACATGTTTACTGAACACCCTGTATGTATATGTATTTACATTGACATGTTTTGTTCTTTTGCTAATTATGGCTCGATTTATTCGGTCTGTCCGATGTAAAAATACCTAATGTGCGCCTTCTCCGCAGAAGAGATGCAACTCAAGTCTGTTTATTAATGTAAAATGTGAATCCTGCATCTCCTCCATCGATCGATGTCGACACCCGACAGAACATTGTTGATATGATGTTTATTCACAAATCGTAAACTCATTAAAATATATTCTTTAGTTTCATTATCGATCGATCCGTAATTATTTCCATCGTCACTAGGAATATTTTTCATGAAAGATTGTGCAATCTTAAATTTTTGACACGTCAGCCATTCATTTCACTTTGACACACCGTTTTATTGTACTTTGGCCTCTACATTTTAGCAAATATTAACTTTTGTAACCATTTATTTAAATTTATCACACTTTGTGAACAATATAAATACATCAAAAACTGTGCACATTACTACTAGTTTATCGATTTTGTTCCTTTCTTTCGAATCGTCGTACAAAACTTAGTAAATCGATCAACGTCTATTCTTCGTTTATAATTATGATATTTTTTTTACAAAATAACTTTTAAGCATCGTAAACTACTATCGAAAAACTATTTACAAAGTATATTAAGTACAAGGTATTTAAATATTTACAAGGTTTTTGAATATTTCTGAACTTGTTATAAATAAATAATTGATAATAACAGATTTGAACCAGTAGGATTATATTCTGATCGGGTCCTAGTACCGTGTTAAAAATTGTTTTGCATGTCGATGCCAAAATATTTATGTACTGACTGTTTTTTGATTGATACGTATTCCGACAGTGCTGTTCTTCGTATTCAGCATATTTATTTACATTGTAACAGACAATTGTTTGTTTTTTAACATTATAATGCTAAAAACATATTCTTTGCACGTCTAATATGTGAATGTCTTGTGTCTTTTTATTCCTATCCAACGGGGTAAAGATAAAAAAAGAAGTTATTTATTTTTTTAAATTGTAAAATTAACTAAGCCAAAACATCAATTACTCAGTAAAAGTATATTTTATTCAAAATTAACTTCAATATTTTTTTAATTGATCAACAACTGACAATAATCCGCCATAGTAGTCGGTTATTTATCCGAGTCAATACATGTTAATTTAAGCCAAACATTATTTAAAAAAAAATTAATTAAAACAAACAAACAATAAGATTTTTGATCACATTTTAAACATCTCTCAAATTTGTTTTTTTTTTAAATAATACTTTTGTACTTCTTCTACTTTTTCCTCGCCTTTGTCCCAACTACTTGGAGTCGAGCACCCTTATCCTTAACTTCCACTTGACATGATCAACCACATCTTCCACGCTTACATCAGCTGTCCTCATATTGCATTCAATTATATCCCTACATCTCTTTTTTGGTCTTCCTTTACCTTTTCTACCTCCAATATTCATTTCTATAACTGTTCTCACAGCTTCCGATTCCACTTTCCTTATAACATGACCAAACCATCTAAACCTATTTTCTCTCATCTTATCCACGATTGATGCTACATCTATACTCCCTCTTATATGTTCATTCTTTATCCTATCTTCTCTAGTAACTCCACACATCCATCTAAGCATTCTCATCTCTGCTATACTTATTTTTTACTTTATTCTCTTGACAATCACCCAATACTCTGAACCTTATATCATAGCTGGTCTCACTACAGTCTTATAGAACTTATCTTTCAGACTCATAGACATTTTCTTAACACATAACACACCAATCGCTTTTCTCCACTTCAACCACCCGCACTTAATCCTGTGTCTAACATCCTCGTCAATACCACCGCTCTTTTACACAACTGATCCTAAATACTTTAAACTTTCCACCTTCCTATCACTTCCTCACTTATCGTCACTGATCTTCTCATTTCATCTACCTCGTGTTCTCCTTTAGAAATTCGTACTCTATATACTCTTTCTTATTCCAACTTATTCTTAATCCCTTTTCGTCAAAAGCTGATCTCCGCACCTCTAGCCTTTGATGAATTTCCTCCCTATTTTCTACTATTAACATTATATCGTCAACAAACAAAGGCACCTTGTATTTCTCTAGTGATTTCATCCACCACTATAGAAAATAAGTAAGGGCTTAAAGCAGAACCTTGATGCAATGCCTAAAATTTTCTGTTACTCCTCCTACGCTTTTTACCTTGGTACAAGTGACGTCATACATATCCTCTATTATAATAATGGACTTTTGTTCTTAAAAATATAAATAAAATATTACTTTTAGACTAAAATAAAATATAACTTAAATTTATGTCTTGCATGACTACATAAAAAATATATACAGAGATATGAAGAATATTATTTAAGCAACTACTAAAAAATTGTTAAAATTTAGGATTCCAAAACATAACTACAAGAAAATCATTTTGTCATCTGCCCGGAGCTATTAAAATCAAAATTATACGCTCTTGCAAATATAAAATTTGCACTGATAGTTCTTCAGCAAGTTACTTCGAATCACCCAATGTCAATCAATGTTCAAACCAATCACACGATTAGTGCTGCACATATTCTACTAATTTGATAGACACGCAAGTACTCGGTTGTTCTTTACTTGTTTATAAAAAAATTCGCATAGAACCAATGCTGTCTTATTATTATGCTGACAAAATTATTACCAAGATTAAACTAACCATTGAATTGAAAAACCAACACAGTAAAAATATCAATGGGTTATGGTAAACAATTTAAAAATAAAAAATTAACGTCATGAATTTTAGTTGTTTAACAAGTTAAACATTACTGTCAGCTGACAATGATCTGATTCACTGAAGCCATCAGCCAATGGTTGGAATAAACATATTTTTATTTAAGCCAACATTATTTCAATAAAAAGAAACACTAATAGATTTTCCATCATGTTTTGAAAAGTTCTATATAGCTTTTGATACAGTGAAAAATACAAAGGTTTTTTTGTCAGTGTAAGCAGAAAAAGCTATTTTTTTTCGAATGATTTGAATTAGAACAAGCAAATGTATTACTTAAAATTTTCCATTCGATTGGTATTTCATCATCTGTCGACGAACAATACACAATTATTCTGTAATATTTGACTTTTATAGTTATAATAATTAC